TTATTTGAAATTCTCCTGCCTCGGCCTCCCAAATATTAGTGTTACAGATGTATACCACTATGTCTGGCTTATTCCAGTTATTTTTATAACTAAGGGTCAAATGTTTCATGGGAGTTTTAATATTTTTAAATATTTGATTTTGATACTTTTTGAAAAGAAAAATTAAAACTGGAAAGTTAGGAGGCTGGAGAGATGACTCTGCAGTTAAGAATACTGTCTTCTCTTCCAGAGGACTAGGGTTCTGCTCCCCACACCCAGATAGTGGCTAACAAGAGCACTTAACTCCAAGTCAAGGGGATCTGATGCCCTCTTTTGGCCTCTGTGGGTTTGCATGCATGTGGTACACTTACTTACAAGCAGAAAAATCTTTTATACATGTGTAATAAATATAAATAAGTCAAAAGAATTAAACTGGAAAATTAGGTGCAATATGAGCATTAAGAAAAAGAAGAGAAAATGTTTATGTAATAATAGAAATGTGAAGAACTCCTGAGAGATATTTTATCTGACTTTTTTTCCTTGCATATGGCTGTCAAGTACTCAACATACTTGCAGTATTTATTTTCATAAAAAAGACAATAAGACAAGGAAGAGGCAGATAGGAAAATAAGACCACCTGCAGGAACATAGCGACTTTAGGTTTTAAACCTATGTGACAGGATCACTCAGCAAACCTGTTCTTTCTTAGCCTGATACTGAGGGAAGAACCAGGTGGGTTCTATAATCCGAGGACTTTAAATTACAAAGAAATAGCATTTATTAGTACCAGATTTTTTCTCAAATTATTATTTTTTCTTTTTTCTTCATTTTTCATAGTGATGGAAATATTTTATTCTCGCAGCAGAAATAAATTTACATGTTTTTTGTTGTCATTACATAAATCCCTGTTACATTTTATATCCTGTGTATTGGGGATAATTAGATGATTGATCATTTTCCCCCAAGGATGACATGCAACTGGATCACAGTAAATATTCCAAAAGATTTCTTTCATAATTTGGAAAGACTATTTTATTTTTCTTATCTCTATTTTTTGGGTAATTAACTGTAGTGTCTCATAATTGATTGTCAAAGGTATCCATATTAATATGATTGTACACAGTATGTTCTAGGGTTGTTGGTTAAGACAGAAAATGTAGCGGAAAGTCCATAGAAGCTTGTGTTAATTAAGGAATCTCCTTAGTACAAAAGGTACCTTCAGACATTACCACATCCTTAGGTAGCTCATTATGATATCACTTTGCAGAAAATGCTCTGGTTCTCGTCAGTGGCTTTAGGAACTTGTTCAGGGAAGCCCGGTGAAAGGCCTGAACTCTCCTAGTGGATGATGCTGCCATTTTCTTAAGAAATAATTTGGGCCTGTTGAGGATGCAGATCATTGAGTCTGACATTTTGCTGCAAGAGACGTAGCATTTTACTTTTTTCCCCTTAGCAAATAAAAAAATCAAATTATTTTGATGTTTTTCTCCCAAATCAAATAGAATGAGATAGAGATCTGAGACTAGAGAAGAATCACAATCAGTTTGCCTTTATTCTCATTAAAAAAATGAAGCAAAATAGTAAGGGAATATACCCAAATAAGAAAATAACCTGGTCATATTTAGTAATTTATTCATATAATTTTAAAAATATAAGCTTGGAAAAGGCCAAACTCAAAGTGATCTGCAGATTTTTTTATGTACACACGCACTTTTCTAGACAGTTGTGGTAGCTGAATAAAGACTTTCCTTAATGTTTACTTATAATGTTTACTAAATTTTTTGCATTTTTTTTGCTTTTATGCATGTATATTTTTATCTTATCAATATATTATAGCCAGAGTTTTTTTCCCCTCCAGATTTATGATCAGGTGTCTTCGGAGATTATGTAAAAAGTGACAAGCCTAACCCTGGGGAAACAAAATACTAGAATATGCTTGTGCACATTAAATTCTTAGTTTTCTTTGCCTTTAAGAAAGTTTTGGAATCCTGAACTAAATTTTAGTTTAGCCTTTTCACTCCCATATGTATCATAACTGATACAGATTTTTTTTTCTGTTAGGTATGGATTGTTTTCCTTCAGGAACTGTGTTAGAAAAGATCTAAGTGGAAAACATAGCTAAAGAGGGTTAGCAATGCAAACCACCTGTGTAGTAGACGCCGCACAGTCTAGTAAATGGACTTTAGGTAAGACCATGAATCATCAGAATTTACTAGGCATTTCCCTGGAAGAAACATTAATTTCTTAGTTGAAAGATAATAACTTACTAGCCAATGATATGATCTAATATTTTCTTTGTGAGACAGAGTCTCCCTGTAGCCCTAGCTGGCCTGTATCTTGCTATGTAGACCAGGCTGAACTCAATTTCACAGAAATCTGCCTGCCTCTGCTTTCCTAGTGCTGGGGTTAAAGGCATGCACGACCACACGTGGCTGATTTATTATTTATTTATTTATTTATTTATTTATTTATTTATTTACTTATTTATTTATTTTTTAAGTGTAAACTCAGGGCTGGAGAGATGATAGCTCAGAGTTTAAGAGCACTGGTTGCTCTTGCAGAGGACCCAGGTTCAGTTACCAGCATCTACATGATGGCTAACAACTATCCGTAACTCATGTTCCAGGGGATCTGATGCCCTCTTCTGACTCTTGTAGGCACTGCACAGCACAGTTGCACTTACATTCAGGCAATATACTCATATACATAAAATAAAAATAATAAATAAAATATTTTTTTAATTGTGAATTTAAATTTAAAAGTAAGTAAAATAGGGGAAAATACATTCTTGTCTTAGATCTCAAACTTCAGGAGAAAACTAAAATCATCCATATTTTGTAGCTTACTACTTCCACCTGAACTTTATTGTAAGAACTATCTGAGGGACAAAATAAAAAATCAAAATAGAAGCCAGTGAAATCACTTTGAATCAATATATTAATATAAATTGTGTGCCCTACTTCTCAGTAATACCTTGTAGTCTTCTATGAGTGACCTACCGTCTTAGTTTCAGTAACTAGGAAGTAACAATTCTCATCATGGTATAGATTTTTAGTATATTGTGAAAACTGCTCCTTCAGGGTTGATGGACTTACTGCAACATAGGAGTTTCAGCACTCCCCTCAGGTGACTGTGTAACTTGGTCAAGGATGGATTTCCCTTGATTTCCTGTTTGCCTCTTGACACTTCTCTACTGAGGCTGGAGATTTGCCTTGCCAACCAGTTTTCTCTCCACAGTGAAAAGAGAGGTTGGAAATACTCTTTTGACACATATTTAATTAGCATCTTCATATGTAACATATAATCTTATGAGTCTTTTTTACATAAAGCCTGTCTTCTTGAAGAGAGTGAGTGGACAAATACATATGACAATTAAAAGCATGTGGTATAGTTTGTGAAAGCTTACGATTGGTTTGTAGTTGACCTGTGACATGGGACCTGTGAGTCTACATGTGGCAAGAGAAAGAGAAAAAATGGACTAATCAGAAGCTTCTCTTTAGAGTGATGTTAGAGGTAATGAGCATCTAGTCTTAGGAACAGAAGGTCAGCATTAGAGTGGGTAAGTTTCTCTGCAATGCAACCAGGCAAGGGAAACATTTCTAAGGCATCATTAGATATTGCTCCTCCCTTCCCCCTTCCTTCTCATCCTTTCTCCTTCTTGCCTTCATTGAGAACTTAATATGCTCTGAATTTTATTAATTTGAATCTTGGTCCATGACCCAGTCTCATTTGATTCCTCTGTGTTGCGGGTGTCCTAGGGCCCTCCCAGGCGAGGGTAGAGTCCGCTCAGAGTCAGGACACAGACTACGTGAGTCAGGTGAGAAGCAGGCAGTGCAAGCAGCTGCAGACTCATTTATTGCAGATATGGGGCTCCCTTATATCCCCCCTCACGGTGTCCCATTGGTCCATTGATAGGTCCTGTCTGTTCCTCACTGGCTCTCTGTACCAGGCCTTTTTCACGTCAGCCATCTCTGTCTTTTGGCAGAACACAGGTTTGCCTCAGCCAGATGTTTTTGGCACGTTTGCAGCGTGTATGAGCAGGTTGTTCAGGCCGCACTTCTACACCTCTGGGTCCTCATTCATCCATCATGATAATGTAGCTAACATCTATGATACATTAACAATTTTGTCATGATAATATATTTACTATATGTGAAACAATAAGCGTTATGATGATCTATTTGCTTCTCTTTTATTGCCTCACACTACCCCCTCCTAAAAGTTAACCACTACCTGATTTGAGTGCATCATTGGTGTTTGGGGTTTTCTTTCTGTTCTTTTTGTTTATATACTAAAACAATGCACTAACTCAATTAAATTAAAATGTGAAAGTTTTTTTTTATTTTTCCACTCAACATTATGTTAACATGATTCACTATTTTTCTTTGTGAGTGAAAACAGTTAATTCTCTTTATTTACTATGGTATTGTATGGATATAGCACAAATTGTTCATACTTAACATTTATGAGAATTTTAGTTATCTCCATGTATATTGTCATGAAAACTTTTGCTATGGGTATCCTCTTACTGAGTCTCTAAGATACATGTGAAAGTTGCTACAGGATATAGACCTGGGAATGGAAATACTGGGCAATAGTGAATTAAATTTTACATTTCAAAGATAACTCTAAATTGCTCAAAAGTTATTTCTCATATTGCATTATGAGAAATACGGAATAATTTATTTTGTCCTAATATTGATCTTATGATGCCATTTTCTGACAATGACATACATGCATCATGAAAAGATGTGAACCCTGCATCTCTTGTAATTTTTAATTGGTATTACATGTGCTGTTTTCTAATTAAATGATTTTATCAGTTTATAATAAAAATATTTACTATATTATTTTAACAAAAGAATATGTAAGCATTAAGAAGATACACACATATGTATGTACATATGTACATATATATAATTGGGGATTACTGTCTAAGAAATAATAGAAAGCTCATTCTATTTTGAAATTATTCTCATGATTTACTTCTGCACAGTTGATGCTTATTTTTCTTTTGACAGAACGATTACGAGATTTACTACTGCCTCCATCTAACCAAGACTCTGAGATTCTGCCATTCATTCGATCTAGAAGTTACCCCAAGTAAGCAACAAGAGTTGGCTGGGTATTGAGAAGGGAAAGGGTAGTCACTGGCAGAGGTTCATGCAAGGGAGACGAACTGTATTTGTTTATCGGGTTTCGAAAACTCTCAAGTAATCCAGCCTAGCCACTTGGGATCTCTTCTGCAATATAATGTGTGGGGCTTTTCACAAATGGTTCCAAGCAAAAAACCCTGCTTCTAAGTGTAATGAGATGTGACTGGGGAGTTACTGCTCTAGGCAGTGAGGCCCCTATAGAAGTGTCTTCTATGCTGAGTTCTGTCAGATGCTATGTCATCGATGGGTGGAGACTTTTGTGGGTGACCCCTCATCTAGTTTTCTATTTTCTATTCTTTAAGTGAAAGGAAGAATATTTATTTACACAGTTTTTCTATCATTTTTCTAGTTATTTTACTGAATCATTAGATATAAATTGTTTCCTTGAGAAACTTATCTTAAAACCTAAAATCTGTCAAGAAGCAATCTTACTGAATCATTAGATATAATTTTTTTCCTTGAGAAACTTATCTTAAAACCTAAGATATGAGTCAAGAAACAATCTATACCCCATATTGCATACAGAGGATAATATTTATGGAGCATACCGTATCCAGCATAGATTCATAGTACGCTGGTACTATGCTGTGCTACTTTGAATTTGAGGTAGGATCTCTAGTTAGGTAGCATAGTTTTTCTGTAATCTTTAATGTTTTCTTATCAAGAGACAACTAACAAATAATGCAGAATATAAAATGTGTCTTTTAGGTGAATAATACTTATGAAGAAGAAAAAAACTGACTCATTAATAAATGCTTGTGTGAAACAGAGTGGGAGAGAGAAATAGATAGAAAAAGAGAGAGGGAGAGATATTAAGGGGAGGACGTTTGAAAAGCATAGCCTGATGTTTCCAGAGAATATTATTCTAAAATAAAACAAAGTTCATCAATCACATTCTTAAATTCATGAGCTCTCATTAGACCTCTTGCCAAAGCCAGGAGTATCCATTCTGTCATCATTCTCAGAGCATTGCATACATATGGCCATTGTGAGAAAGAATAAAAGAATGACTTGAAAGAAAGTACACTTAATAAAAAACACATGTGAATTTATAGGTTAGAAGAAAGAGAGATAAAGTTGCAACTTCTAATGCTCAACTTTACTATTGTTATTGTCATTATGCCAGAAAGATTTAGGTTTCTGACATATCTGGAGAATATTACTTTCCTATCCTTGAAAATGTGGATTGGATAAGCAAATTGGTTGAGTACAATTGACATAATTTAATTCAGAAATTAAATTGAGTAATTAAGCCAGAAATATGTGACTCAATAGCTCTGGAAGATTTAGTCCCAATATGTACAAAATGTTGTGAAAATCCAAGAATAAAATACTTCTACTTTGTTTCCATGAAGATTAAGTCCTCTGAACAGCTATGTAGCTAGCCTGTAAAGAGAAATATTATTTATGACAGAATTCAGAATTGTTCCTTGGCTTACCTGCCAAAGAACAACCTTGATTGTTTAGACAATAAAAATAGTGTCCCAACCCAATCTCATTTCTGATTGGCTGCTTAAAAATGACTTCAAATAATTATATTGGGTAACATCTGTAGACTGCAAATCATCAGATGACTTTCTCAGGCTTGATCTAGCCTATCTTAGTTTTTCTCCTTTAGCAATGTTTTTAGTTCTATTTCTAGACAATCTCTCTCCTTCAGCAATTTTTGTTCTATTTGCACATCTTGATGCATTTTTCACCAAACAGTTGGTTGGGACATAATGTATGCCTGTGAAGGATCTAAAGTCCACTAGAGGAAAAGCAGAATTGGAGTTTAATGTTAAGATGTATGAAGAGGAATATACTGAATTATACTGAAGAAGAAAAGGAATGTGCCCATTTAAGTAATTTATACAACAGTTTTTTTCCCCTGGGGTAAAATTGACCAGAGGAGAGGTTCTTTAGTCAAAACCAAGAGCATATAGGCCATTGGACTACAAGAGGACTCGCTTCCAACTAGCTGAACACTGTGAGAGGTACACACCTCCATAGACACCCTCAAGAGGAACGAACAGAAAGAATTGAAGACAATCCATATCATTGAAGGATCTTTTCTGCCATTTAAAGGAACTTGGGCTTTGTTGTGATGACAACAGAGATTCAGAGAGAGCTTTAAGCAAAGGAGAAAATAGTTTGATCTTCATTTTCATGGATATACCATGGAGCAAGAGAGGGAGACATGAAAGACCTGAGGGCATCACAATCTCTAGTCAAGTTTCATATTTAGATAGGAAGCCATAAAGGATCCATACTGTGGTAACTGGAAATTGTCAGATACATGTCTTGGGATGTTAGGAGCACAGTCAACAGAATGTAGTGGTAATTATCTGATGACTAAGGAAAAAGGAAGGGGAGAGGTCTGTGTTTGGGAATAACTTCAAATTTTTGACTGCTCTTATTATTCAATATGAGTACATTTCTTCTTCTTTTTTCCTATATTTTGAATAAAAATTACTAGATGCTTCCTGTTTATGTTACTTTTAGTATTAAAAAGAATCTGGTGTAATTCTATATTGTACAAAATAATTATGTTTAAGAAAAGGACAGGAATATCCTCACTTTATAAAGGGAGGTTGTGAATCTTCATCCCAGTTCTCATTATTAGCTCTGCTCTGCACTCTCTCACATCCAAGCCTTACCTCACGCAGGGCAGTATGCAGGTTCTGCACAGGGACTGCTTTAGTGCTGCACTCCAGGACACAGCCACAGTGTGTAGGTGTTTTACCTAAGATGACCTAGTGATAGAGTCTGTTTGGAGATGACTAGTCAGGTCAAAGCCCTCTTTATTGTATGACTGCCTATGTGATATGGGAGATCTTCTAGAAATTTCCACAACCACAATTATTTATGACATTTTCACAGTATATAGAATATTTTAATAATGAATTTCAACAAAGAATTACTGTGAAAGCTGTTAAGAGCTTGTAGTGCTCTAGTAGGTGCCCCAAGTCTGATTCCCAGCACCCACACTGGGTGGCCCAAAACTGCCTGTAACTATGGTTCCAGGGAATCTGACACCTCTGACTTCCACATGCACCTGCACTCATGTACACACACACCAGAGAGAGAGAGAGAGAGAGAGAGAGAGAGAGAGAGAGATACAAACATACATAAGTTAAAATAAAATAAATCTTTGTGCAATGTAAAGCGAAAAAGATTTATTGTTTTGCTCTTCTGATCCCCTAATTGCAGCCTTTCCTACTAGATGATACTCCAATTCCTAGCTGGCAAGAGAAAAATAAAATAGTAATTTTCCTATGAGAATGTGGAATGAAAGATTCCCAATACTTCTAATATTCTCAATATTCTCAAAACTAAGAAAGCAATGTATCAGAGGGGAGCTTTTCAGTTAATAGTAGCAGCTTGTAGGGCCCCTGGGATTCAACTCTAAAGAACTCACAAATAGAAACTCTTGTCTTTGGAACTGCAAAAGTTTAGCAATCACTAAAGTCAAATGATTCTATGAGAGAGAGGGAGGGAGGGAGGGGGAGAGAGAAAGAGAGAGAGGAGAGAGAGAGAGAGAGAGAGAGAGAGAGAGAGAGAGAGAGAGAGACCAAGAAGCACTTAGAGCAAGGCTAATGGGCAAGTAACAAGGATATTTTGGTAAGTGACAGAGAATCTTAGTCCTGGCTCAGATAAGACCTAGTCCCAGAAGGGCCATGCCGCCTTTACCAGTGAAGGTTAGGCTCACACCATGGGACACTGGGGAAGAGCTTTTGAAGACAAAAGCATGTGCAGTTAGTTTTAGGGTGTCTTTCGGATTTAGTGACTTACCTGGTTCTGTCACATCCTGTTGTCATCTGAAAAAAATGACTTTTCAGACTCAGATGACTTTAGTTTTTTTTTTAAGATAAGTTATTGGGAACTATTCTTTCTCCTCTTTGGGACTTTTTTAAAAAGTTTTTTATTATTGAGCTTTTAAAATTTCGTACAATATTTCCCGCTCACATCCAGAACCCCTCCCCTATCCATACTCCCCCCACTAACTCCATGCACTCTGCCATACATATTGAGTCCTATTCATTCAGGTATTTATACCCAAATGTCCTTCAGTGTAAATGTGCCCACTGGAGTCTAGTCAGCCCATCCAGTCGTTGTACTCTCCCTCACCGAGCAGCAACCAGTCTCAAATAGTTCTTGATCTAGTGCTGGCCCACCACCTATTCCTTACCTCCCTTTTGGGTCCTTGTTTAATTGAGCTGATATGGGTCCTGCATTGCATGCCACCACTGCCCAGGTACACATGAGCAAGTCTGCACTGGCCTTGAAAACTTCACCTCATTGGTTCATGAACCAGCCCTGGCTCTTACAGTCTTTCTGCCTCTTCTTCCTCAATGGTCCCTGAGACATGGGTGGATGAAGTTACATATGGGAGTCCCATCCTACACTCTATAGTCTCCTATTCTCCAAAGCTTGGCAGGTTGAGGCCATTTGTGTGTAATCCACTCTGATTTACATGGAAGCCTCACTGGTGAGAGTTAAGGGGGTGCATTAGCCCTCTCTCTACCCCTTATTCTACTATGTTCCATGAGCCTTTTTTGTAGGAATTTAACTGTAGATGTGTCACCTAGTACCGGGCATCTCCCAAGTGTATGTTCTCTTTGCTTGCTTTGGGCCCTTTGTTTTTCATTTGGAAACTGATCCTTGAAGGTATCATAAAATTCTTTCTCATTAAATAATTTTTAAAATTTGGGCTATATTTTTCAGTGGTAGAGTGCTATCTAACATGTTTGACCTCCAGCACTGAAAGAAAAAAATCTTTAAAATCCCATGCTAATTAATATTCTTGGGTAGAAACTCCCCCCTTGTTAACATAATATTATTTACAGTGTTCTCACCTCTATACAAATGGAATGTTATCAAAGTTAATCCATGACTTCAGAAACCGTTTGTACAATACATTATTTAAATGAACACCAAAATGCCAGTTAAAAGCCTTTTACAGAC